CAAAATGTTTAGCAGCATCAGGTCCTCGATACATTACTGGTTCCTCCGGTAGTCCTGTACACATATTTTGAGGTAATATTTTGGAGTTGTGTACTATGTAAAAACAATAATTCATTGGTTTATGTTTTTGTATAATAATAGACTTGTCCGATATTTGTTCCATCGTTCGAACAAGCAAACTTTCCATATCAGCGTAGATAACTAATGGTATTGATTCTTCTCGTCTTGTGTTTTCAAAACGTAATATTGAAAGATCAGAGTTAGGCTGTGGTAGAACAATGCGAGCCTTCTTGAATTTTCCACACATTTTTACATGTTCTTTAAGTTCCTCTTTTCTAGTCAGACGAGTTAATAACGATTGCTCGTTAAATACGCTGAGACATCGTTTACAATGATATTCTTGTCGTTTACTTTTTGAGAGTTGTTTTGATACAAGCCTTGAAAATTTTGAGATGTAACAATAGTGGTTAGTTTCATTAATTTTCAAGTATAGTAAATCAATATGTTCTGTAGTGGTTTTGGATTAAGGTACACGCAATGGAAAAACAATGTTTTTATTGTCCAACGTATACACATTTACCGATATTGTTCGAAGCAATTGAACTCAATTGGAGTTGGAAAATCAATATCGAAAAAATCTATGTTTAAACGTTATTCTAATTCAACATATGCAGCATTCCAATCACTTATTTTATCTCTTTTATTGTAATGACATAAGATTGACCATTTGAAACATTGTTGATCATCGTTTTTAATATTTACAACAGCCTTTTTGTTTTTTATACACGATAGTAATTCAATATGCGATGATCCCCTCAGTGGGTTAAATTTATGTACTCTCAACAAAATACCATCGATTGATATTAGCGACCATCAACTTTGCTTGATTTCCATATCTTGTTTTTCAGTTTCCAACTTAAAGTTATTTTTTCCATTACTGATGTAAAATCGGTTCCTAAGTCTACTGTTTTATTGCGCGACTTGAATGATACATCTTTGAACTCACCAGTTACAGTATGAAAGTGCGTTGTTGTAATAACTTAAAATTAAGTTGATATGGATGGTATTAATAAAGAAGAATGATAATAGCATCATCCGTAAAGACATAATAGATACAAGTATTTTGTTTCTAGCTATTACTCCATTAGCGTAGTTAGTGTATCAAAACCACTCTTACCTGATATTCACTGATGGTGATAAAATATTGATTGTAGACTTATGGTTGTTAAAATTATAGTAGGTATGTTAATGAAACAGTATCGTATATGGTTAATAAAAGTGTATTTATTACTATTGAAAATGTTAATTATTTTAACAAATGTGTAATTTAAATTTAATGAAGAAAGTTATAATTATAGACTCAAAGTATGAAGAATATACCAAAGTACTTAGGGAATAATCTTAGAGTATTTAACTTGACAAAAGTGATTATTAAATGAGAAAAATGAGCGAGTGACTGAAAAAACAGTGTCTTCAGTCTCTATATAATGTACCACAAAAGTCATAAAGGGGGATTGGGCATCTTGAATGTGTCATATTTTTTATAGGCCCATTCAGCCATCATTCTATATTTCAATAAACGCAAAAGAGTTATTGTATTTAAATTTCCTTTTTTAGTACTTAAATGGTGCCTCGAAGACGGCATGAAAGACAATGACTCACATCTACTTTAAATTATATACATAATAGTGTTAGCGTATCCTTTTCTGTGGTCTGAGAAAGAAAAGAGGTATTGATTATATTAATATTCCAGAGGAGAATATTACATTATGTACAGTAAAACATTGAATTTTACCATTCTCTTAACAGTTAACATTTTTAATAAATTTATTATTTCGTGATATTTCAACCATGAAATCGACAATATCTTACGCCACCTTTTAAGGCCAAATTAATTTCTTTGAAACCTGATCCTACTAAGCCCATACACTGTGTTTATGTAACTTATACCATATTTGAGTCCAAACTATGTGTTGGAAAACAATTTTTTAGGTTTTCCTATAGTGCAAAAAATTATTGGTCTATGATTCAAATTATTGTTGCAATGTTTTTGAAGACGGTCGCTGTCCTCGAATATTGCACCACAACCATAAACTGTATCAGACATCATCATTTATACAACTAAATAATGAAAAAAAGTATACAGCGTAGCATTCCACGGTTTTTTTAAATATCATTTATTATGTTTTACTATGAAAAATTGTTTATTTGACGTAAAAAGTATATTTTTATTTAAATAATAATTAACCTTTAACAAATTAATTTTCTACAAGCAAAGTAGTACTAATCATATAATCAATTATATGTATAGGCTATCATTTTAAAATTAAAAAAATAGTTTTTTTATTCATTTTCCTGTAGCTAATATATTAATACTAATGATTGTACCATCATTTTTTTTTCTTTTATACTTTATAATCTCTCCACATAAATTAAATAAATTTCTTTTTATTATATAATATTATATGTAACACAATAATTCTTTACACAATGTAAAGAAATAAAATATGAAACAAAAAAATCGTTGAGATTAGTTCAACGTTCTTCAGAATAAATAAAATATTATTTATTATTTTATTTGAAAAAACTATCACAACTAGAATTTTAAATACAAGGTAATTAGTATAAAGTAATATATATACCATATTGAGTTAAAATAAATAATATGAATAGTTATTATATTATAATAACTGTCATAAACAAGTTATAAAATATGAAAAAGTGATAAGATAATTATCTTTTAACTTATAGACATTATACTATAATTATAATTATAATTATTATAATTGCAGAAATTTAGTATAATATTTATAAAAATTATAAAATTTTCACTGGATGGTTTCTCCAACCATATTTAACTGTGAATTGTAAATAAATTTTTAAGTCTTATATTAAGCTTATTGTACGAATGTTATGTACAGATTGTATATTTTCTTAAAAAAAAAAACTGTTAACTCTATGCAAAAAATGTCCATCAAGTATAAAAAAATTAGGTTTGTTTTAAATTTATAGAGAGGTTAACTCTATTTAATATTATTTCGAACCCCAATATGTAAATGATTATTATAATGTAATTATGATCGTGAATGTAGCAGCCGACATTATTATAATCAATCAGGTACTGTTATGATAGAAATGGATGAGGGTTAGAAAATGCAACACTGGTTGATTTAAACTGTGCGTCGAGCCGTTTAATAAAAGAAGTAAAAAAAAGAGAATAACAACACTAGTAAAAAACTCTAGTAGAACAAGAAAAAAAGAAAGTAACAATAATACTTTAAGAACCGTCGACAGAATATTAATAGTTGATCGAGATTGCGATGGCGTTTTGATTGTTCGGTATACGGCGTATCCAAAGTGATAGGTGTCACGAAGAAGACTGACTCGACGTATTATTGCGGCGGGGTATTCGACGCTAGGCATTTGTTGGACTTTACACCACGACGATAACGCGTGTGTGTAACGGTCCGGTTTACAGTGAAGCGATGGCTGTGAAGGAGCTGATACGACCGCGGGGTGTCAACGTGTGACAACACCGTGGCCGTGTCAGTACCAAAAATAAGTGAGAATATACGTATTAGAGAAGTTTCAAAACTAATTCACTATTCATGTACTTTGTATTTTCAGATGCCGAAAAATTCGTAGACACTCATTGTAACCACACCTATTAAAAGCCATAAAACAACCATTAGGCTTTTAGTAGACAGTCCGAAGTCTGGTATTCTAAATTTTAATTCAAGAACTATATTCAAAAATTATTTAGAAACAACAAGTGGGACGGCATTGAGTGTTATACAAAGTCATCCAATATTCATTCCAAACACAATAATTATTTTAATTAAAGAAATAATGTTGAAAATTGTTAATGTATTCAGGACAAGAATATTAATACAACAAAATTTATAATCTATATAAATACTAATAAAATAAAAAAAATAAATCTTCTCTCTTCTTTATTGTTTTTGTATTCACATCTTTTCATTATAATATCTAATTGCCCAAAGACGTCCATGTGAATTAATTGTGCACATGAATGTTCCAGCAATTTTTCGCTGTGTAATAATAACCTACAACGCGGTATCAGTTTTCTGCAAATTAAAAAGTGATCCGAAGGGTTTCCAGTATTTATTTTTAGTAATTATTTTTACTCTATTTAGCTATTGATGTAAATATTGAAAATTTGTTGATATTTTATGTGATTGTGGTTTATTAATTATTTGTATTTTATATTTTTTACTTTTTACATATTATTGCTGTATAATATTAATGTATATTGTTATTATATTTAAATTGTGTCTTTTGATATCCTTTATAGATTGTGAATCTTTGTTTAGTATTGTATGTCTTTTTTTGAAGTGCCCTCTATTGGTGTTAATTTTAAACTGAAATTTTTTATATGATTCTTAGTTCTTTATTTAGTTATAAGAATTTTGGTTTAATAATTTCACTTTATATTCAGCGCTCCTAGTAGTATAATGTTGTAACAAATATTTGGTTACTTAGTTGTTACCGCATTTTTAAATTGATAAGAAATTGCTGGTTAGAAATTGCTCACTTCGCGCATTTTGCTGAAGATACATCTGATTTAGATGGATTGTCATCTAAACGAAAAAAAGTAAACAAAAAATTTAATTCTAATCGGTCTGAGAGGTCTACTCCTAATTCATCACCTGAACCTGCTGATCTAAAAATTGAAAGTGATTGCCTTTTATTTTCTTCTGAATCTGATGACGGTAATTATTTAGCTTGTAGTAATTAATTTAACAACTCATTATTTTTTGTTTATTTTATGTAAAACTGCCAAAACTAAATAGTTCAAAATTTCTTTTACTTTCTAATATGTTTTTTTAGCTAATTCACCAAATAAGCATAATTTTTCATCTCCCAGTAAAAGATTAGTCACACCAAAAATATCAAGCACCTGATATTCTACAAAATCTAAGAACATAAGTATCACTTAATATTTTAATAAGTTTTTAAATTAGATAACTAATTAAAAGTTTGTTTTAGCTGAATCTCCAAAAATACGCAATCATTTACAAATCAACAATAATTGTTCAAGTAGCCCAAGAGGTAATTTTTGTTGTATCTTAAGAAATTTCAATTCTGTTCAAACTAATAAAATTTATAGATGGCATTTTATTTACTCAAAAACTTGTTTAATTAAATGACCAATTATTTTTTCCAATCACAGCTCATTAGAAATTGACCAATTAAATAAGAAAAACATGAGACCCTTGAGCTTAGAAGTGCTGAAATTGAGGTTTGGGTGCTATAACACAATCTGTTGCTCTTGTAGTTGACACGGCACCGCCTTTTGCTCTAGGCTGGCGCTCACCCGTGTCTCTCTCGATATCAGCCGTCCAGCTATTAATATGACAATCGGTTGTCATCGGTCGTCACCCCACCCTTGACACTGAGATAAGGCCGCCACCGAATATGGATTACCGAGATTGCGTCCTGTTCCGTTTTCGACGTACACCTCAACTGGTGTGTTATTTTTGGTGCTGTGCCGTTTCCGACGTATAACTTTACTAGTCGATTATTTTTTGGTTCTGATTTGCATACACTTTTGTTACTTTTCTTTTTCCTTTGGGTTGTTGACTTACAATACTAATTAATTTGTGTTGTCTGACGAATTGCAGTGTACATATATATACATATATATTTATATATAAATACTTATCACTGGTCTAAACTTACATTGATACATTCTTATAATTAACTATTGCGTCTTAGCATCATATACACATAGTTAAGTATCTAATACCCTATAACTAATATACATTTATATCTGCGGGATTGCGTTACGAGCCACTCGGTCGTCCGTACCTTTTCTCTGGATTACGTAATATAGTTTAAACACTGATCATACCTATTTGATTTTGGAATAAGACAGTTACATTCTCTTTTTTGGAAGCACTCTTGGCTAAAGAGGTTTTGATATAATTTCTTGAACATCAATTGTATTACTGTCAATTTATTTTTACTAGTTACTTTTTATTTAAGTAGATTTATACATTTTTTTAAATTTAGATTATTTATTAATTTATTTATTTTATTTAATAAATAACATATTATATATTTTTAATAGTTAATATATGTAAGAATTTTTTTTGTGTAGGAGTAGATTTTCAAAGTAAAATGTTTAATAACCAACTTTTCATTAAATATGAAATTAAATCAATAAATGAAAAATTGGACATTTTGTTACAAAATTTTGAAAGGTTAGAAAATTTGAAGGTACTTGCCACTACAGAAAATAGCTCCACAACTGATTATTCAGCTATGGATTGTATCTTCCCTATTGAATTGGAGACTGATTTAGAAAGTGTGAATGTGCAAATTTTATCAGATTCTACTTACCAAAAAAAACTGGTATGGTTAATTTTTTATGTTAAAATAATTAATCTTCAATAACGTATAAATGATTAAAGAGCTTACTAAAATAATAGAAATACATATTATACTGATACTTCTGACTGTAAATGTTTTGTTCATATTAATTTTTGAAATCTGGATTGAGTATTAAGTGTTATTAATAAGATATGCTTAAGAAATACTTTGATGATTATAATTGAATAATAATAATAATTTTTAACTTGATAATTTAATTTTTTCTGTAAATTAATATGATTGAATAGTTTTTCTAAAAAAATTAAATTAAATTTTTTAAAAAGTTAATTTATTGATTTTTTGTTACATACTAGATTAAAGAATTTTCATTATTGGGTGGAGGTAATGTAAGAAAAATATTAAAACGAATAATGACTAAACTATTCAGTGATAAAGTATTGCAGCATTACTCATATGTTAGTAGAGGTTTAAAAGGGAAAACAAATTTTAGCCAATTACTAATTTGTAAGGTTGTATTTGGTAAGCAATAACTTGTCTGACTTTTTAATACAAATATTTTAACAATTTTCTTTATTCTAGAATGATGATCAAAATTGTTATTAACGTTATTATTTATTATGATATTATTTTAAGTAAAAAAAAAATTTTTTTTTAACTAGTATGCTAATTTTATTCTAGACTCAATTGTCAAAATTCCAAAATATGAAAATTGTCTACAAGAGGTTGAAGACAAAATAAAAATATATTTAACTCGAGCGGCGCCTTTTAGGTTAAAAAGATCACATAAAAAAAATTAGGTATTCATTCTGATATATGTAGGTGTAATTTATTACACCTACCTATATCATTAATTGTAGGTTCAATTAATAATATAAATAATAGTAATGATAAGAATAATCAATTAATTACACAATTTTTATATGTTTATCTGCTTATTGAATACTATTTTATTAATAAAATATATTAAAGTAATACATTTTTATTTAAATAATTCCTCAGGAGTGATCTCTTTCCTATAATAAAACACGAGTGTGAAGCTACCAATTCGTGATCCATTAACTTCTTATCACTAACAAATATCGGTTACCCTTCGGTTACCGATATTTCATAGAGTATAACGCTTTTTCTAACCGATAGATGTAGACACATAATACCAAAAAGCATATATTAAACGCATTTACCAATCATACACACAACAAAGATCTGACGGCCGGTGGGAGTATATATACACTAACTATCGTATACACCGCCGTACCAACTCGGATAATTGTGAACGACCACTGCACTTAACAACTTAGCATTTGATATTATATTATGATGTTTTTTATAAGCTTTCAGAAAATGTATAGAAAATATTTGGACTCGTCTCGGAACATTCACCAATTCGCAAATTACTGTGGCCGAGTTGGGGCGTTTATACGCTACCAAAAGTAATTTCCGCGGTCTTTTTTTGCAATATTCAGTTACACCTGCACGTTTCACCCGTTAGCTTTTCACACCATGTATAGAGTTTTTTTTATAAAATTTCAGAAAATGTATAGTAAATATCTGGACTCGTCTCGGAACATTCAACAATTCGCAAATTACTGTGGCCGGGTTGGTGCGTTTATTTGAAATAACAATATTTTTTTAATGCAAATTTTTATTGCTTATCAATATAGTGTTGGCAGTACTGTATTGTTTTGTGTCAACTAGAGAGCAGTGTATTATTGTATAACTTGAAATAGCTTTTATATAGAGCAATATTATATTTATACATATCAGTATCGGTTAAGCTGTTAATTATAGGTATTGCCTTGATCTACACTTTTCTATTATATTTAAAATAATTGATTCGTGGACTTTTTAACATTATTTCTGACGATTTTTATTTTTATTGATTTTTTTAAAACTTTTTAATTGGTTTGCTACGTTTTATCGTACAATTATGTAAGTGTTTTACGTGGTATAATTTTTCTGAATTCGTTTTAATGTTATAAATATATGAATAAAAATTAAGTTCAATGTTATAAGATTTTACTTAAATGTTTATAATATTTTATGTATTAATAATGATGAAATTCATGCTTTTTTATATAATTATATTCTCTATTTTTCAAATTTAAACCTTTTATTTACATAAAAATGATGGGGATTTAATATAATAAATCTAAAAAACAATGGTATTTGAGTTAGCTTAATAATGGTATTTTGAGACAATCAATAGAAAATAACTATTCAATAATTATATAAAACTTTAACATCATTATTAAATCTTCCTTTTGTCAGAAAATCCAATTTTACTTTAATTGCTTTAATTAACTTAATATCAATATTTCCTAATATATATCTTTAAAAAAATAAGAATCTATGTAATATGCTTCTTATTTTTGTTAATTTTGTACATTAAAATTTCATAAAATTAATTGTATATATATTTTTTTCTGTTTCAGATATTGTGTGTTCTAGTGTAGTTGACCAATTTTTTTATACTTAATTGATATAAACTAATTTAAATAAACTCTTTTTTTATTTTTTTTTTTTATTGTTAATTTTATTTTTTATTTTTTTATTAAATTATAGTTTTTTATTTAATTTTGTATAAAAATTGTATACACTTTTTTTTCTTTTGTCAATTAGCATTAAAGTTGCATAGATAATCTTGTGTCTTTAAGCATTAAAGTTACATTGACAGTTTTGTGTCTTTAAGCATTTAGTTGCTTTTACTAGTTGACGTTTCAATTTAACTTAGAAATTTATTAAGGCATAAGTATGTCTCTAAAATATAAAATAAATGAAATTGCTCACTATATATGCACTGAATTTCCTGATTTTGATTTAAATAATGTATCACGGGATAGTATATGTGTAACAAATGTTTGTAATATATTTTTAAACAATAATAGAGGTAACGATTGTAATAAAGCTGTTGTAAATGCATTAAAAAATAAAAATTCAGCTTTGCACAAAAAAATTGAATTAATTAGATGTGGTAAAGAAATAAATATTTCATCTAAAGGAAANTTTTGTTACGTATTGATAAAGGAATAAATATTTCGTCTAAAGGAAATGACTTAAGTGATTTATTAGATACATCTAATGTGATGGCATGTTTAAGAAAATACAACTATACTAGCAAAGATTTTGAAAATTGTAGTAAATCGACCCTAAAAAATGTGTGCAAGTATTTAAAAATTGCCACAGACAACAAAAACCTTTTCAGGGTTCTAGATAAATTCAGAAAAGTGTTGAATATAGACTGTTCACATATTAAATGTGATGATTTACAGATAACTGATGATTGTTCCAATCTAAATAGTAATATGTCCATTGTAATGTTGCAGAATTTATAGAAGTTTTATTTTTAATAAATATCAATTAGAGGTGTGTGCAGTAGGTATAAAGTATTTTAATAATTGTGTATGTGATAACCGGTCCGATATCTGTCATCCTATCATCATCAGCTGACCGTACACTATGCGCCTATACCCATATTGTTGTAGTTCCTCCCCAATGGACGTGTCAAAGTTGGTACCACCACCACCCGGTGTCACAATCACTGGTCACTACAAATTTCGCGACAACGCATTTTTTTTTTCCAACTAAACTACCGAGGCGACAAGTCGTGTCTTCTTTATATTTTTGGTTGTGAAAACCACGTTTTTATGTACATTTATATTTTTGTCCTCCGTTTTTTTTTCTAATAAAATAAAACGTTGAGTCGACCGGCCGTCAACCCGGTTGTTTATATTTTTTTGTCCTCCGTTTTTTTTATTAAAATAAACGTTGAGTCGACCTGCCGTCTACTTGTGGCTTCAACCCGGCTGTTCATATATTTTTTTGTCCTCCGTTTTTTTTTTTAAATAAACGTTAAGATGCCAATGATGATGACGATGTGAGGCACAACTATGGCTGGTGGTGGGCCGTCACTCTTCAACTCAACCAACAAGTATCAACATGAAACCTCCTTTTACCTCATTTTTAATTTTGTGTAACTAGCACCGCTCTTTTTCTTCTTTTTTTTATTTGTTCCTTTATGAATATATATATATTAAAAAATTTCAATAATTAAAAAGAAAAAATATTATATTATACATGGTCTTTCTCTTTTTATTAACATTTTTTTTTTATCAAAACCTAGTAGCTCCGTCAACAAGTACTATCTTGCTTGGCGCGGCTACTAGGTCACTGTCCAGTGTACCCCCTGGGCAGTGGGTAATTACTAGGCCCTCTGGTTTGGCTGAAACCTTACTCCATAAAAGTTAATGTCATGTCAGTGGATGACCAAAGAATTAGTTCTTTAAAAAATGTGTCAGACATTTTCAAAACTAATTCTTCTAATACTAAATTAGATAACAATCTAGAATACAAGAACCTAGCTTTAATTAATAATTCTGATGCATTCTGCTCAGAAAATGTAGGTTCATTGATATCTCCGATAACGAATAAAGTAATTATAGTTAATGATAGTAATATTCCAACTCCTAAATCGAGTGATTTTACTCCAAACAATAAAGAATTGAACCAGCAAAGTACTCCAATAAAACAAATCTGTAGCTTAAACGAGTATGTCACTCCTATAAAATATGGTCCCGTTAAAACGTACAAACGTACAGCAACTCCTATTAAGGACGCCTATTATAAAAAGACACCCGTCAAACCTGGTGTAGTTTCACCACATGAAAGTGTAAATGACTTTCCTGATCCTGATAAATTCAGAAAAAACAATCATAAATCTTTTAAAAATTGTTTGTTTGAAGAGGGAACAATCAATTTTACTAAAGATGAGTGGTCAAACATGATTATTACAACTGCTTTTGGAAAAGTTGAATTGAGAAGTGAGACCTATAGTTTAATGTTTCGTAAACGTGTAAAAGCGGTTAATAACACTTGCGTTATAAACATGCATAGTTCCCATTATCCTAACACTGGAAAAATTAGAGTGTACATGTACTGTAGTCATGAAGGCTGTAAAAGTTTTAATGTAGAAGTTTGTCCCAATTTTGATGGTACACAAGCCAAAGTATTTAGTTCTAGTAGAAATTATTACCATGATCCCGAAAATGAGGGAAAGACAACCTACATTAAAGGAGATGAACGTGATTTAATTAGAAACGAGATGAAAAAAACCAGTAGTTTTAAATATAGAGCTAACACGATTGACGAATCGTCATCCTCCAAAATTGATCGTGGTAACCTCCAAAAAATAAAATCTAATGATGTAATACGCAAAATAAGATCTGAAGCTTTGTGTGCCAAAGACTATGCAAACAATGATCTAAATGATTTAATATGTAGGTATAAGGATCCTAATAATAAAGCCTTCTTAAAACTCGTAAGTTTGCCGGTATACGCCCATTGCTACAGCAACGAGCAACTACAAATAATAAAAAAAATTAGAAAAACTTATCCTACGTATATGCATACCGCCTATATGGATGCAACTGGTTCGGTAATTAGAAAAGTAGACCAAGCTAACAAAAGACCTTTATACTACGCTGTGGTTATTCGAGTTCCACTACCTTTAAAAACATAGGTTGCTTGTCCAGTATTAGAAATCCTTAGCTCAGCACATGATATAACCGCCATATCACCATGGCTTATGGCTTTTAAGAGATTTGTGATAGAGGGTGATTTAGCATGGCCTATATTTCCCAATGTGGTAACAGATTTTAGTTTTGCACAAATGCGTTTACTGTCCATGGCCTGGAACGGGTTCAATTCGGTATTTGACTACCTAAATTGGACTTATAAAGTTTTGTATGAAAATAATAAAGATCATTTAAATGTAACTATTATTAATATTTGCATAAATCATTACACNTGAAAGGTTACAAATATATAAAAATCAAATTAATTGGCCGCAACGAAAAATTTGTAACTTTCATGGCGTTTTACAAAGTTATAAGTAAAGGGTCGCCAACCTACTTGGCGAGACAGTATATTGTCGGACCACAGTAGCATTTTAAAAAAAATTAACTTTTTTATATTAAAACAATTAGAAAAAAATATATAATTAATAAATATTAAAGTTGATGTCCGTTGAGTCGTTGATAGTAGATGTACACCAAAACCTCGTGACAGTTGTCACATAACCATATTAATGAGGGATGACCTTATACAAGGTCGTTACCCGTACCTTATAAACTAGGGGAGTTGATTTTTGAAAGGAGAAAAAAAAATACAGGAGTCCATTGAAGATGGAACAGGCAAAAAAAAGAAAAATATGATGGTTCAGTTAAATTAAGGGGAATTTATTAAAAAAAGAAACAAAAAAAATTAAGTTAACACGAGGCAAAAAACCGAATGGTCAAAAAACCTCGTCTACAAATTAAAGGGGACAAAGAAAGAAAAAAAAACAGATATTAATAAAAAAAAACGGTAGCACAGTGGGGTCGAGGCACAGTGTGGACGAGGCATAGATGGGACAAGTATAGATGATATCTGACAGTGATTAAAATCACTATCATAAGAAACGCTTCGATGCAAATCTGTAGATAGTGTTTC